ATTTTCAAGGACTTCGAAAGATCCAGTCTAGGTAGACCGCGTCCTTGGAGGACCCGTCCTAGGTTTTCGAACAGAGCCGGTGTTTTGTTCAAGGCGCAGACAACCGGAAACGGGCCGTGCTGCGTTCAAGGACAGCCGTTTTTTCCTGATAAATAATACGGTTGTAGGAGCCAATTATTTTTTGTCAGTAGTGTCAAAAGTACATACATTTGTTACCTAAGTAGAAGTATAGATACTGCAGTTTAAAATCACTCTGGTAAAAGTTGAAGTATCAACTTGACCTCTTTACTCAAGTAAAAGTGAAAAAGTATGTGCTCCAAAAACTACTTAAAGTATAAAGTAACCTTTAAGAAAAATAGCCAGATGCCACTATATAAACTGAAAGCTGAATTTTTCTACTTTATTGTTTGATATAAAATACATTTTTAAATTTAAAATATATTGTTCAACAATAATTTGTATTAAAACAATTACACATTTCCCTAATCATAAAGCCATAAAAACTTTTGAGTTATATGCTCTTATCAATGGCCACAGTATCTTTATAATATGACTTTATACACATTTCTCTTACTTTTATGATGCAAAGTCATTCTTCGGGTCTTGTAAGAAGTATAAATGCATTCAACACTGACATAAATGTCTTAATTAATAAGTGGTGGATTCCAGAAATTTGGGGCCCAAGGTGAAGGCAAGCATGGGGCCCTCTGAAATGAGAAGATAAGACACAAAACAAAAGGACAATTATACAAATACAGACATTTTAAAAGAGAATGCTTTATTTTTTACATGTTGTCCCTCTCTTTCTGTGCCTTCGTCAGCTTGTCTCCCTTCTGTCCTTTGTCTCATTGTCTTTATTTTTCCCCCCCTTGCTCTTCCTTACATTTTCTTGTGGGTTTTGCATTTTCCTCCTTTTTGTTCCCATCTTTTTCTTCTTATTCTGTCTGTTTTGCTCACATTCCTCTCATTTTTTCTCTATTCCTGTTACCTTTTTTCTTTTTGTTTTCCTCTTTGTTTTGTCCCTTTTTCTCCTAGTCTTTGTTTTCTCTGTTTTGTCTCTTAAACCTTATTTTGCTAATCTTGGCCTCAGGTAATCTTGCAATGAGGACATCCATATCCACTGACCAACAAATTTCCCTGGAAATGAAATATGTAGTAACAATAAAGAAAAAACAATGTCAAAACATGTGTTAAAGTCACTGTCTCATCCCATCGACCGTTACCTCTGGCAATCCCATATCCACATAGCATTATGCTGCCAAATTAAGCACAGTTTAATAACAAGAAACTATACTAAGAAAAAACAAAAGTCCTTTTATAAGAAATTCACAAAAACTTTCAAAGTGAAAGAAATATTATTTTTTTCTGTTGCAACATAAACTTAGAGCATTAATGCTGATACTGGCACTTGTTGCTATATATATCATTCAAGGGCTCATCTAATTGGTCAAATGCCAAACTCACATGTACAGCCTCCCCATTTGTACGAGTGGTTAAAATGGTAACTTACCCTATAAAGGGTTAACTGCAAAATCAATATATTAAATTCCAATGAGCTAAATCTAATTATGTTAATACAGCTCAATATTAATAAAAATGAACTAAATTTGCATAATTAAACATTAATAGCAAATGTTGAATTTAACTTCACAGATAAAAATCAAACATCATGTCTGCAACTGTGGATCTTAATTTGCTACTTATTATAGCAATATATATATATATATATATATATATATATATATTAGTGCTGTCAATCGATTAAATTTTTTTAATCGCGATTAATCGCATCAATGCCTGAGTTAACTCGCGATTAATCGCATTTTAATCGCACATTTTGTTCCTGATTGAAAATCATTTAAATACTCTCGATGACATACAAAAAAATACATACAGGCTAGGTTTGTGCCAATGTTCTTTTTTTAAAATGAAAACAGGTCACAGACACTGATTTATGCCAAAAATAACAAATATGTAGCCAAAAAAAAGGCCCTGAAAACAGGCTGATGTAAAAGACAGTCTTTACAGTTAATACAGTCTTTTGAACAAAGACAAGCATTTTACCCTACTGCTATAAAATTTAGTAGAGTTAACATTAGATGTTAATTAACCAAGGTAATAATGAACAATTTTCAATCAATACATCAAAATCAATAGACCGACATCACTAGATGGAGGTAGTCTATACTCTAGAAAGTTACTTTTCAGCCTCTTAACAAAAATGCTCCTTTGTGCAAGGAGGAGCAGGAGAAGCACTGCCAGAGCCCTACAAAATGACCTCCAGCAGCCCACTGGTGTAAATGTCTCTGACCAAACAATCAGAAACAGACTCCACACTAGTGGGCCCTGTGCTCACTGCCCGACACCGTGGAGCTCGATTGGCATTTGCCACAGAACACCGGAATTGGCAAGTCTGCCACTGGCACCCTGTGCTTTTCACATATGAGAGCAGGTTCACCCTGAGCACATGTGACAGACGTGAAAGGGTCTGAAGAAGCCATGGAGAACGTTATACTGCCTGTAACATCATTCAGCATGACCGGTTTGGTGGTGGGTCAGTGATGGTCTGGGGATGCATATCCATTGAGGGACGCACAGACCTATACAGGCTAGACAACGGCACCCTGGCTGCCATTAGGTATCAGGATGAAATCCTTGCACCCATTGTCAGCTGGTGCAGTGGGTCCTGGGTTTCTCCTAGTGCACGACAATGCCCGGCCTCATGTGGTGAGAGTATGCAGGCAGTCCCTGGAGGATGAAGGAATGGATACCATTGATAGGCCCCCACGCTCACCTGACCTAAATCCAATAGAAAACCTCTGGCACATTATGTATCGATCCATCCGACGCTGCCAGGTTGCACCTCAGGCTGTCCAGGAGCTCAGTGATGCCCTGGTCCAGATCTGGGAGGAGATACCCCAGGACGCCATCCGTTGTCTCATTACGAGCATGCCCTGACGTTGTGAGGCATGCATACACGCATGTGGGGGTCATAGAAATGACTGAATACCATTTTGAGTTGCTGCAAAGACATTTCAGCAAAATGGACTAGCCTGCCGCATCATTATTCCACTGTAATGTTTGGGGTGTGAATTCAGCCCTCTGTAGGTTGATAATTTTCATTTCCATCAAATTATGTGGCATCCTTTGGTTCTTAACACATCACCCAGTCCATATCAGTATAAATAAACAGCATGTTTTTTTCCCCCCATTGAGATCTGATCTGTTTTCAAAGAGTTCCTTTAATTTTTTTGAGCAATGTATATATGTCCTCTTTGCTAGTTAAGGTAATTTAACTTGGTTTAGTAAATTCAACATTACATTTAGTTGGATTCAGTATCTGAAACCTTTAGGGTTAGGGGATTGACTGGCTATAAATACTACCTAAAGGGAATATGGTTATTTCAATCTTATATATACTGTTTTCTCACCCCTCGTGGGGTGGTATGTGTCATCCTCAAGCTCGGGTCCTCTACCAGAGGCCTGGGAGTTTGAGGGTTCTGCGCAGCATCTTAGCTGTTCCTAGGACTGCGCTCTTCTGGTCAGAGACCTCTGATGTTTTACCTGGAATCTGCTGTAGCCGATACTCGGATAAAGATACTGTGGCCATATATATATATATGTATATATATATTTTTTTTTTGCTTGCTTGTATTTCAACTGGTTTAACAGTATACCTGAATGTTAGAACAAGCACCCCCCTCCTGCTGGTTTGTTTCCTCAGTGGGTGGAGCAGAAAAAGGGAGGGATGCTTCGTTTCAGATGGGCAGTGCCTAAAAGAGTCCTGTTTCTTCTCATTTATTCTCATCGATTCTGTTTTACTTATAATGGATTTGTTAATTAAATATTCAGAGGGTGAAATAGATTTTTCTCAGTGTTAGATTTGTGTAAATATGGTTTATATCATCTGTGATTTCCCTCTTTTAATGGTTACTTCCTGTGAATCATACAGATAGTTGGTTTCAGTCAATGAATCTGTTTGTCTTCATAATCCACAACTTTAACAGGCTGTGAATTAATCTG